CCTTCATCCACCTAAAATCATTATGTTCAGAGAAAGTAGTCACTAAGGTAACTATATTTCAAAACAGAATTTCTTTACAAGCTATATCAACTCTACAAATGCTTCATATATAAGTAAGTATTTCCCCTATATGTTTGATATGCAGGATCTATCTATATACAAAGTTGTACACATAGAACTTTATAACTTTATATATAATATATGTAACTTCCATATTGTATTGATGTATATAATTTATATGTTACATACAACTAAAGCTTAATCATATAGCTTTAGTTTGATTTTTCCATATCCTTATTATTTCCTGGCACACTTATTTTCACTTCTTTCGGAAAGATGTCAAAAAGCTTTAGTTTCTTCCCATATTTTTGTCACTTTCTTACATGCTTCAAAGCTAGGTTGTTGGATGTAACCCAGATGAGAATGTTATGTTTGGCGTGGAATTTTCCTTATAATATCTTGAGAGTTCCTCTCAATATTGTTGCTAATATGCCTTTGTCATAAATTCTATCTTGTTATTAATATCACTGCACCAAACATGTTCTCTATGTTTCCTTCCATACTTTGTCTCTGTGTGTCTGTACATTTAGATCGATTCTCTTATAAGAAGCAAATAGCTGGATTAAAAAATCTAGTGTGATAATCTTTGTGTTATAATAGGTGGGCTTAATTAACCATTTACATGTTTTGTGGTCTAATTAGAAGGTTTGGAAGTGTTTTTACCAAAATACTTATGGTTTCTGTTTTCTTCATTCGTTTCTCTCAAAATTTGTTCCTTCCTTTTTCTAGTTGGATTGATGGAATTTCTTATATTTTTCACTACAAACGTTTTTCTCTACTAGTTTGAAAATACAGAAGATAATTCTCCTTTTAATGATTATCCTTTTTCCTTGTTTTTTATTTGTTTGTTTATTTTAAAGATTGATTTATTTATTATTTTAGAGAGAGAGAAAGAGAACCCGCGAGTGGGGGGAGGGGCAGAGGGCAAGGAAGAGAATCTCAAGCAGACGCCGAGCTGAACACAGAGCCTACCATGGGGCTCCATCCCACAACCCTGAGATCATGACTAGAGCCTAAAATCAAGACTCAGACGTTTAATGGACTGAGCCACCCAGGCACCCCTTTTTCCTTGTTTTTTTTTTTAATGTTTTATTATGCAATATTTATAAACATTCATGAAAGTATAGAAAATAGTAAGCCCCTAGATCTCAAATTTTAATAATACACAATATTTTGTCATTTTTACCTCATCTCTTTTTTAAAAATGTATTTTTAAAAGATTTTATCTATTTATTTGATGCACAGAGAGAACGAGAGAGCACAAGCCGGGGAGCTACAGGCAGAGGGAGAAGACAAACAAGCTCCCTGCTGAGCAGGCATTCCAACATGGGACTCGATCCCAGGACTCTGGGATCATGACCTGAGCTGAAGGCAGACGCTTAACCAACTGAGCCACCCAGGCGCCCCCAAAATATTTTAAAATAAATTCCAAAGATGTTGACATTTCCTCCTAAACACATTTTCTTTACTAACCACAAAACACTGTCACACTCTAAAGAGTCAACAATTTCTCAATAGCACGTGATACCCAGTCCACAGTCGAGTGCCTCCACCCACCCCATAAGTGTCCTTTCACTTTTGGTTGATTTGAATCAAGATTCATGTTACTCTGTGACATGTTACTCTGTGTTGTGTCGTCTAAGTTTTTTTTTTTTTTTAAGATTTTCTCTATTTATTTGACAAAGAGAGAGAGAGGGAGAGCACAAGCAGGCAGAGAGGCAAGCAGAGGGCGAGGGAGAAGCAGGCTTCCCGCAGAGCAGGGAGCCCGACGTGGGGCTTGATCCCAGGACCCTGGGATCGTGACCGGAGCCGAAGGCAGATGCCTAACAACTGAGCCACCCAGGCGCCCCCATCTAAGTCTTTTTTTAACTTAGAGTAGTTCTCTCGTGCTCACTCACCCTCCACCTCCCCCCTTCCCCACTTCATGTCTCTCTCTTTGTCTGTCTCCCTAAATCTAAGAATCATGTTTAAAGATGTCTGCCCCGTGGAGACATCCAGAGCAAAGTCCAGTCAACAAGCCAGGGGACAGTGTGGTGGTGTTCCCGGGAGACTGTATTCATGCACCTGTTAAGCCCAGAGCCTCCCATCAAACTTCCAGCCAGTACACTGCAGTCGGTTGTAAAGCAAATATTCATCAAGTGAGCCGAACTTCAGCCCTACTTTTTAAAACAGCTTTACTGAGATACAATTTACAAACCATACAATTCACCCATTTAAAGTATACAATAGAATGGCTTTTAATAAATTCACAGATACATGCAACCATCACTACAGTCAACTTCAGAACTTGTTAAACACCTCAAAAAGAAATTCTGCATCTTTTTTTTTAGGTTTGAGTAGTTTTTTTAGATTTTATTTAAATTCAAGTTAGTTAACATATAGTGTATTATTAGTTTCGGGGATAGAATTTACTGATTCATCAGAAACTCTGTATTCTTTAGCCATCACTACCCCCTACTCAGGTGCCCCCCCATACACACTTCTGCCACTAATCCAGTTTTTGTTTTACAGATTTTTTCTATCCCTTATATTTTGTATGAATGATATCACAGAGTACGTGGCCTTTTTTTTGTGTCTGGCTTCTTCTATGCAGAATAATACTTGCAAGGTTGATCCATGCTGTGGTAGGTATGAGGACTCCATTGCTTGTTCTGTATGAATATAATCCAGTGTTTAGATATGTACACGTTTAGTTCATTCAGTTCTCCATCAGTAGACATCTGGATGGTCCCCATTCAATACTCAGGTACACGTTTTTGTGTGAGCATATATTTTCATTTCATTTCTCTTGGATATACACGTAGAAGTAGAATTGCTGGGTCATGTGACAACTCTATGTTTAATCTTTTGGGGAAATGCCAGGCTGTTCTCCAAAGTGGCTGCAGGGCTTTACATTTCCACAAGCCTTGAGTGAGGGTCATGATTCCCGCCCACCACCAGCATATGGGGGTATCAGGCCCTGTGATGCTAGCCATCCGATGGGGTGTGAAGTGCAATCTCATTGTGGGTTTGGTTTGCATTTCCCTGATGACTAATGATGCTGAGCATCTTTTCATGTGCTTATTGGCCACTTGCATTATCTTCTTTGAATAAGCGTCTGCTCAGATTCTTTGTTCATTTTTCAATTGTGTTATTTGCCTTTGTATTATTGAGCTGTAAGAGTGTTTTATATATGATAGACATAAGACCCTTACCAGATACATGGTTTGCAAATAATTTTTCTTATTCTGTGGGCTGTCCTTCACTCTCTTGAATGTGAGCCCTGCTTTCACCCCTGCTGTTGCAAATCCTCAGTTGCCAGCACCCTGGCGGCCTCTGCCTGCTTGTTTCCAGACCCATAACCTAGCTATCAACTATTTTAACTGGTGCTTTCATCTTTTTTCTCCTTTTTTCCTATGCTTTCTGGGACCTTTTAAAGACTAGAGGGTCCCAGCTGGGAGGCTGAAGATTTTGTTTTCCTGTACTGTTGGCAAGTCTTTCCACCTTCCTGGGTCTAAATTTCCAATTTTATGAAGTGAATACAATCATTGCTCTCATGAAATGGCTGATTCTGATGTATCCTTTAGTTTTCAGCTTCAGTGTAACTTCCTCCCGAAGAGAGAGTGTATGTGTTTTATTACTAATTACCACAATTTTTATTAACTTACTGTAACTGAGTATAAATTAATGATAATGTTGATATCTATATTCTCAATTCTTTCCAACCAGCCTAAGGGCAGGGACTGGACAGATTCTGTTTTGTTCATCCTTTTATGTAGGCCTTAGCATGGCACCAGATATAGAGTTAGAGCTAAATAGCCATGTGCTTACTGGACTGGATGGGTGGATGGATGGGTATCTTTAAGATGGTGGGAATAGAAACACTTGGGGGCTTTTGTTGAAAGTTCTACAAAATTGCAAGTTTTCTTATAGTCAATGTTTGATTCTCTACTCATAGTAGATATTCAGATGCATAATAATCCCTAACACCAGCTAAATAATTAAATCACCACATAGCTCATATGCTAAGATATAAGATTATTTTTCACGTATTTTCATTTGTTTAAGGAAATAATTAGCTTAAAGCAGAATAGAGAACTAGTCCAATGTAAAGAGTAATCCTATTTCCTGCCAGTGGCTCGACCCCTGCACTCCCACTAGGAATGGATGTCAAGGCCCCCAAGACTGACACGCACAGCTGGCCAGAACCCAAGGGCAACCAGCTGGCTCGCCTCTCTAGTACACCCTCTGGCTCCTTCACTCCTTTCCTCTGGGGAACAGTATCTGGGAATTTTTTTTGCATATTCTTGCATAATTACATTTTCCTGGATATTATTCTAAGGCTCAGTGTAATGATGAGAGGTTTGGGGCAGAATAATATATATATATATATGTATATATATACATATATACATATATATATATATATACATATTGCTATCAGTTACATGCCAGACACTTTGTCTGTGGTATATAGACCTTATCACTAATTCTCAAAACAACCTTCAAGAAAATATTTTTAACAGATGAAATTAAGACTCCAAGATTTTGAGTTACTTTCTAAAGATCATGTAATTAATAAGTAACTGAATGAACTAGGATTTAAACCCAGATGTATGTTGTTAAAATGTTTTCTTCTACTATGCCTGTGTCTCCCATTGTAATACATAAATAATTGGTACACATGAAATACCATTTAAGGGTAAGTGGTGCATGAAAAACAATTTATTTTTGTTCTAAAATTTATTTCACAAATATGATTGCTTAGAATATGACTAAATGCATTTATATTAAATATACATCAAATTTGCTGTGTGTGTGTATATATGTGCATATATATATATATATATGTATATATGTTCATAGTAGGTTAGACACAGAGCTGACAAAAATCCCATGTGTGCTATACAAACATCTGGGATTTGACAACCACCACACTGTACCATATTCCCATCTGGCTGCTAGCTGCGTGTGTGGCTCCAGCACAGTATGGTGTTTGTGTCGGCACTGAGAACCAGGCAGCTCTTGGCCCAGCTCTGCGTCCCGTGCAGAAAAGCACTCGATGCTTGATTTCTCAGCTGTAGTGACTGACGACACCCAGAGTCACCATACATCGGCCTCCCACTTGGCCTGCCCTCCCCACCTTCATCCCATATCCCTGAGCTCGTTAACTGCCTCCTCATGGCCTCCTTAATATCCTTGTTGCGAAAGCTGTAGATGAAGGGGTTGAGGAAGGGCGTGAGCGCGGAGTAGATCACGGCCAGGGCACGGTCACAGTCCAGCGAGTCCTTCTTCGGCCGCACATACGTGAAGAGAATGCTCCCAGAGAAGATGAGAACCACGGTCAGGTGGGAGGCACAGGCGGAGAAGGCCTTCTTCTTGCCTGCAACTGAAGGGATCCTGAGCACGGTGCGGATGATCTGGACGTAGGAGCTGAGGATCAACAGGAAGGTGGCCAGGATCTTGCAGGAATTGATAACAAAGTCCACCAGGACATTGATAGATGTGTCAGTACAAGCCAAGCTCAGTACAGGAGGGAAATCACAAAAGATGTGCTGAATGCGATTGGGGCCACATAAAGGGAGACCAGACGCTAAGGAAATTTCAGTCACCGGCCCAGCCAGGCCTCCCAACCAACACCCAACAGCAATCTTGACAGAGTTCTGAGGTCATGAGGGTGGGATAGTGGAGGGGCCGGCAGATGGCTAAGTACCTGTCAGAAGCCATAGCTGTGAGGAGATAGCACTCAATAGCCCCAAGGGAGTGAAAGAAATAGATTTGCAGGAGGCATCCAGAGAAAGAAATGGTCTTCTCCTCGCTGAGCAGGTTCGGCAGCATCTTGGGGATGGTGGCAGCGGCGTAGCCGAGCTCCAGTAAGGAGAGGGCGTTGACAAAGTGGTACATGGGGGTGTGGAGCCGGGAGTCCAGGCACACCACCAGGATTATCAGCAGGTTTCCCAGGATGGTGGTGGGATAGATGAGAAGGAACAAGATGAAGAGGTAAAAGCCTGGACCCCCTGAGGAAGGGGAAAGCCCAAGATGAACTCTGTCACCTGGCTCCAGTTCCCATGGTCCATGGTTCACCACTCATGTCCCTAGATGTGAGGCATGGAAGGACGAGAAAGAAGGAGCCATGGAAGTGAGCAAGAATCCTCTGCCACCTCCAGAGTAAAGTGTTCCCAGCAAATGCTTTCAGAGGCCAGAGTTTGGATCCCCACCAGCAGCCTCCTTCAAGTGACCACTCTTGTCACCAGATTTTTAAGTCCTCTGGTCTCACAGCCCATTTTGTGGCCCCCATAATCCATCCTGTTACCCAGTTATCTTGCTTAATGGAAACTATATAGGCTTGAGAAACTTTAGTATTCTTCTTCTAAGGCTTATCATATATTATTTATCCATATTCCTTGTCTTAGGTATAAATTATCCTTTATAGGGATGAAATATTGGTAGTGTGTAGTGGACCAAGATTACATCATTTCAATTGCACATTTTTTTAATAATTTCAATTTATTTTCTTCTTCAACTTTCTGGATACCAAAGAATCTTCCCTTTCACCCTGGGCTCCCTCCTGTGTCCTAAAGGAGACTCAGGTCTAGCAGCATCCTCCAGGAGCATGGAGGTCAGAGTGTCAGTCTTCTGGACACTGGCATGAAGCCTAGTCAAGGTGAAGGGGGGTTGAGTAAATCTGAGAGTCACAGAAAACGAGGAGGCAAATCTATCTCTTGCATTTCTATTGCAAACTATGGCCACTTCCTCCCTTCTACTGTCTGCCTCCACCAACCTCAAGTGCCCTTTTCGGATTTATTGCTTCACAGATGGTAAATATTTAAATTGTATTATGAGGTCAATGTAACAAAACTTTATTGAACATCTTTTTGTATTGGAAGCATTATTCTTAGAACAGGAGCTAAACAGATGAGTAACATAGGGGACCTGAAGTTAGGAAATGAATATTCTAATAGAGAAAACAGAGAAGCAACTAATTGCTAACCTGCTGTGTGTTGGAACATTCCCTCGTCGTACGAACATGCTCCTATTCTCACTTATTCAACAATTAAAAGACAAGCCCCCCAAACTCCTTCTCTTGACTCACTTATCCCACAGCCACTGGTCTTTTTCCTCCCCTGTTCCTGCAGCAACACTCCCGCGAAGCGTCAGTTTTCTCTAAAACCATTCCAATCAGACCTTCACCACCGGACAGTCCATCAGATCGCGCCTCCTCACTCACACCAGTTATGTAAGATCTGCCAGTTCCCATTCCTTGGCTTGCCCGACTGTCGGCCGGCCTTGACCGAGGTCTGTGTCCCGCTCCTTGACATACTCTCCTCCTTGGTTCTCGGGGCGCCATCCTTCAGGTTCTTCCTACCTGAGTGGTCACGCCTCAGCTGCCCCTGCTAGTTCTTTCTCTCTGCCCTACTTTTCTAATGCACAGAGCTCAGTGTTGATTTGTCCTTCTTCTTTGTTTTGTAAACTCACTCCTTTGTCAATGCCATCCAATGTCACGGCTGGAAGCACCATCTATGTTGAAGACTTTCCAAATCAGTTCCCAGCCAACACTGCCTCTCCTACTCCAGACACAGCTGCCTGGTCCCACCTCCCTCAGGACGACTAACAGCCGTCTCAAACCTCACTCCTGCAGGCGCCCCCCACCCCGGCCTCCCCTCTCCAACCTGGGCAGTCACGGTCTTGCGGCTCACGGGCCCAAATCCTCACCATGCTCCTTGTTTCTGTCTTTCTCTCAAATCCAGGATCTATTTTCACTGGGTTCAAGCCATGACATCTCTCACCTCCATCCCTATAATCGCCTCCTACCAGATCCTCCCTGTTTGTCCGTCACCTATCTCGACACAGCAGCCACACTGTCCTTTTGATGTTAAGTCAATTCCCTGCTCAAACCTTTTCAGTGACTTGACACTTTATAGTCTCTGTCGCAGCTGTTTCCCACCAAATTTCCACTTGGGTTGCCTCTCTGTTCATTCGGAGCCTTCGTGCAGATGCGCCCTGCCCGGCAGCCCTGCCTGAGCACTGCCCCCCAACATACACACAGCCCTGTCCTGTCCCAGCGCCACCCTCCCATCCACAGTTAATCCTTTGCACGGGACTTACCACGCCCTAGCATATCACCAATGCCCTTGTCTGTTGTCGCAAAGATGTGTTGTTTCTGTCCTCTTCGGGAATGGGAGCCCCAGAGCGCAGGGAGTTTTTCTGTTCCGTTCATCCACGGATGACTCTCAAGGGCCCACAGCTGTGTCTGCAACATGATAATGATTCAATAAATATTTGTTAAGTGAATAAGCAAATTGGGCAGGATAACCGCTCATTTGCATATGCAGGAGCCAGAGGAGCTGGGGATGAGCCGTGGGCTGGGCATGGATGTCAGGACCACCTCACAGAAGACATCATTCGTATTTGAAATAAAGTGTCAGAATTTGCCAGGTGGAAAAAAGGAAAGAAAGGTATTCTAGGCACAAGGGAACACCGGTGTAAAAGCAAAGTCTCCTCTTTCTGTCCTCCAGTCCTCTCATCACAGTCAAACCCAATTTTACTTACTCTGCTGGTTCCTGGCTGCACTATCTTCTAAACCCAGACAACACACCCCATCTTCTACCAAAAGCTTTCTCATTCTGAAGATAGGATGTTTCTCTACGAAGATGCGGGAGGGCTATTTCTGGGCGGGATCCTTACGAGTGATCTTTCTCCAGCAAGACCTTAATAGCCATCTTAATATTAGATATTTCCCCTCTGCCTCAGTTTTCTTCACTCCAAATCCGTATCTGTCCATTGTCCAATTCTGCCTTCTACCTCCTTCAAATCTGAGGTGCAGATGTGCCTCCTAGAAAAGATTATCTCAACATTTCTATCCAACTCAGATCATATTTATTGTGGATGTTTTACGTTCCTTCCCCTCCAGGTATAAATATAAAGCACCATTCCTGGAGCGGCTGCTCCATCTCTGGCCTCCCGACTGCACTCACAGATGAGTTGTCCAGTGACTTTGACTAAACTTCCAGATGAATGGGGGGCCGGCCTCACGGTTGAATATTGGAAGGCAATGTCTTGCCCTTTCTTTCTTTGGAGGGTAGGGCTTCCACGTGACTCCAAAGACTTAGTCTCAAGCTATAGAGTAGCCCCTCTTATCGGCCTGCAGTCCACTGCAGTCTGGAAGCAGATGACCCTCCTTCTGACGGATCATCCAAAAGTCAGGAGTAGCCTCACACTACATCACGATGCCTACATCACCCACCTCCTTCATCTCATCATGTAGGCATTTTATCATCTCACATCATCATGAGAAGAGTGGGTGCCCTACAGTAAGATATTTTGAGAGAGAGAAAAAGACTACATTCACCTAACTTTTCTTACAGTATATTTATATTTATTTTATACTTCTATAAAACTTAACTTCTACTTGTTTATAATTAAAAATTTAACTCTAATTTACAAATCAAACTTTATCATCGGTATGTATGTATAGGAAAAAACATAGTATATGTAGGGTTTAGTACTATCTGTGGTTTCAGGCTTCCCTGGGGCTCTTGGAACGTGTCCCCCGCAGATAAGGGGACCCCGCACATTGCTTCTCTGCTCACCCATGTCCTGCTGTTCTTCGCTCCCTGGATCCTGGGACATCAAAGTCACACAAAGTCAACATGGCCAAGCCAAACATTATTTCCCCCCTGAAACTGGTTCTGCACATCCTCTCAATTCCCTAGGTCATAATTCTCGGGATTCTGACCACTCCCTTCTTTCCCTCACTTTCCCCCACTCGGTACAGAAAAAGAAAATTACTGATGGTTTTCCCTTTACATTTTTTTATTTCATTTTCTTTTACTATTTCTAATTACTATTGTAATTCAGTTTCCAGCACCAAGAGACATTGAGTCCATGTTGGAAGAAACTTTAGGAAATATCAATTCTCTTTGTACTGCCATAGTCTTGGGTTTCATTGGATCATTAAAAATATTTTAAATGCAACAGATATTCCCATCAATTCATAAAAATAAAAGATCTTTTCAAACCACACCACCAAAAAAAAAAAAAGAAAAGAAAAGAAAAGAAAGGGGAGGCTGAAGCTTCTTCCCCATAAGACAATTCTCTCTGTTGTTGAAGTGCTTCAGTGATAAACTGAGTCCCTCCATTGACCTGACATCTGAGTTTCACCCACTATCCCTAGTTCTGCTCTGTGGAAAGTCCCTGTTGTTCTGGTCCAGATTCGTGCTATAAATACTGTGTTCAGCATCATCATAGACATTTCACTGTTTGCCAAATGGGTCCCTGTGTTTAGTCTTGACCCTTCTGTTTGCAGCGTACCCTCCTGAGAACATACCTCCTCCTAAGGCCATCCACAGACATCTAACAATCTGGGCACCCAGACCCCCACTTTCTTTCCTTGACTGTCTGTGGCGAACACCAATCTTTCCCACATCTGAATTCCCAGTAGTCCTTCCTCACTTTGCTTCCAACTATACCCTGTCCTGTGCTGCGATATTTTCCTCTCATACATCTTATCATTCCAAAGCAACTCTCTGTGAGGATTTTGAAATTAAAATCTCACTTTATGCCCCACCTCCTAGAGTGCTTGGCACAGTGTCTGATGTCTCACAGTTGTGGTGAAAAATGAAAAAATTGATGATGATCAGGATGAGTGGTCCAGATCCTTAACTCATCAACTACTCATCTCCTCTCATTGGTCTCCTGATATTGGAATCAGGGCTCTTATAAAACCTAACACATGTATAAATTAGCATTTATCTTACTTGGGTCCTTTGCAACCATAGGTCACAATAAAAAAATAAACATTTTTAAAGAGGTGAGATAAAGACATTTGCAGGAAAAGGGTGAAAGAAATTATTGTCAGTAGACATGCATTACAAAAAATGTCGAAGAAAATTCTTCAGGCAGAGGGAAATAATACGAGATAGAAATTCCTAACTACACAAAGAAATGAAGAGTGCAAGAAATGGTGGAAGGTAAATAAATAACATCAAATTGTGGTATATTCTACAACAGCCATAAGAGGAAAAGAACTACAATGAAATGACATAGAGGTAAAGCTCATAAACATAATGTTGAGTGA